CGGCCCTCAAAGCTGCCCCTGCTGTCATCTGATAGGCTGTGTTCCCTAAACCATAAGCCAAAAATAAGTCCTTCCTTCTTGAATTATTTCTGTTAGCTATTCTATTATAGCTGCAACTTAAAACTGCTCTATCAAAATCAATCTGTTACTTAAAAAATAAAAAATCAACCGAGGTTTGATATTGATGGCTTCTGGGAGAGAGTCAGTTTTTTTTTTTTTTTTTTTTTTAAAGGGTGCGGCTCCTGGTATGTCAACTGTGCTCCAGTGAATGGTCTCACGTCCATGAGTATCTGGGCAACACAAATAGACTCTGTGAGTTATTTAAAAAGAAAAAAAAAAAAAAGAGCCATAAATTTGGGAGTAGATAGGGAGATGTGGGTAGTTCTGAAAAGAATTAGGGAGAGAAATTGAGGGTTAATATGATCAAAGTGCATTCTACAAAATTCTCAGGGAATTCATTTAAACGTTTATTTAAAAAAGACAAAATTAAAAGTCAACTCAAGGGCTGGAAAGATGGCTTAGTGGCTAAGAGCACATGCTGTTTTGCAGAAGATCTGATTTCAATTCCTCGCACCCATTATGGGGAAGCTCACACACAGTAAGCCAGCACCAATTTCTTGATTCTAATGTTACTGCAATTATATGAACTGTAATACACGAGGGCAAAAGTGATGGGTATAGAATACTTTTGAAAAGATTTTCTTTTATTATTTTAAATTGTGTGTTTGTGCCTGTATATAAGTATGTGCATATCAGTGAGGGCACCCACAGAGGCCAGAGCCATTCAGTCCTCCTGGAGCTGGGATACCCGACACAGGTGTGGGGAACCAAACTTTTCTTTTCTTTTTTTTTTTAAAAGATAGAAAGCACAGAAAGAAGCATACAAGATACCCAACACTCAGGAGAAAGACTTAAGTCATGAAATCATAGCCCCAGAATGAAAAGAGGGAGACAATGAAGAGAAGTAAACTATGAGAAGACAATGGTCATTTCCCCAAACTGATGTCAGAATCCACGGAAATTGAGAAGTACGAGAAATAGTTCTCGTTGTGTCTTGGTAAAACTACCTAAAAGTAAAGACAGAAAAACAAATACTCTAAGCTACTGGGAATGTCACACCCCCTTATCGCAGTGGGGACGGCGAGCAATATGAGCACCAGTGTGCATGCATTCATTGCTCTTGATGGACTGCCCTTGAACTGTGAGTTCAAAATACAAAACAAGCAGGAGCTTGAAAGATGGCTAGGTGATTAAGAGCACTGGCTACTCTTCCAGAAGACTGGTGTTTGATTCCTAACACACACATGGAGACATGGTGGCTCACAACTATCTATAATCCCAGTTTCAGGGGATCTGATACCCCTGACCTCTAGGGACACTACACACAAATGAAGCACAGACTACATCCAAGTAAAATGCAAAATAAAATGAAAGTCTTCAAAATCAAAACTAACAAAAGCACCCCTCTGTCCTTAGGTTGTCTTTGTCAGAGTATTTTATCAATAAAAGTATCTTTCAAAAGTAAATGGAAACTAAAGATGTTTTCACGAAAATAAAACTAGCAGTCAACACTATTGATTCACTAAAACAGCTTCTAACAACACAGAAGAACATAAGAAATATAAAATAAATGAATGCTAACAAAACTGACACGGCAGATTTATCTAAATTTGTGTTGCTCTTGTAAATTCTCTTTGTCTAGTAGAGTTTAAATATGTGTAGATTTAAAGGTGATGGGGAGGTATAATAAAATAATATATAACCAACACGATAAAAATGAAGAAAATGGAACAATATAAAAACACTCAATAAAAAAATTCAAAAAAGTAGAGAAAAAAAATAAGAAGTGAACCAAACAGAAAACAAATACCAGGATGGTAGATAACATTTAAATCCATCAGTAATTAATTTTGGTAAAATGGAGAAACTGGGTGACAACTGTTACAGAGGAAGTGGGTATTTCCTAATAGCAAGCCGTCCTTCATAAAAAAAGGGAGACTTCCAGTTTTCCAGCACTATTTGTTGAAGATGCCATTTTTTCTCCAGTGTGGATTTTTTTTAAGGTTTATTTATTATGCGTGCAGGGTTTTGCCTGCATGTATGCCTGCACACCAGAAGAGGGTACAAGATCTTATTATAGATGGCTGTGAGCCACCATGTGGTTGCTGGGAATTGAACTGGGGATCTCTGGAAGAGCAATTAGTGAGAGCTCTTAGCCTCTGAGCCATCTCTCCAGCCCAATGAGTTTTTTTTTTAAATGTTTATTGTTTTTTCTTTTTAATCTTTGCCAAAAATCAAGTGGCTTAGGTGCCATCGCACCTAGAAATTTGTTCTTTATGTTATACCCTGCAAAAAGATCAATTCTAAATGCACCGAAGACCTTAAGGCTGTACTCAAAATATCTAGAAGAGACAATAAAAAACATAGTCCGGAATATAGACTCAGGTATGGATTTCTCTATAGGACCCCAGCTGTATAGGAAATAAGGCTAACATTCAACAAGCTGGTTAGCATGAAATTAAAGAGATTCTATGCTGCAATGGACATGGAGTGAAGGAACAGCATAGAGAACGAGAGAAAATCTTTGCCAGCTATGCATCTGACAGAGAATGTATAAGGGACTAAACGAATCCTAAACATCAAGAAAACAAACAACCCAATTAAAAAATGGGCTAAAGATGGAACAGAGTTCTCAAATGAAGAAGTGCACTTTGGCTAAGAAATATTGTTAGCTATCAGGGCAATGTAAACTACAACTACTTTGGTATTTTACCTTTCCCCAGCCACGGTGGCCAATATCAAGAAAATAAGTGACAGCAGATACTTTTGAGAATGTTAGAAAGGGGGAACGTTACTCACTGTTAGTGGGAGCACAACCTGGGCGGCCACAATGAAAGTCAGAGTGATGTTTCCTCAAAAAGTGAAGAGCAGAACTACCTTGTGTCCCCGCTATATCATTCCAGGGCATATGCCCAAAGGATTCTGTGTACATCCTACTACAGAGATTGTGCATCCGTTTTCATTGCTGCTCTATTCACAATTGCTAGGAAATAGAATTGGCCAACTATCAGCTGACAAGCACATGGATGGAGTCAAGTAACCCAGACCCAGAAAGACTACAACCACATTTTATCTCCCATATGTGCATCCTAGCAGCAATCTTCAGATTTGTGTGTTTACCTTGGAGTACTTACAGAAGCCAGGAAGGAGACTGCTGTGGGGGAGAGGGAGAAATAGAGCTTAAAGAGGATGGTATAATACAGGTGGGGTGAAGGTGGCTAGGAGAATAAGGGGGTAGGAAGGGTTACATGGGGAGAGAGATGGCTGTGTAATGTGAAGTAGTGCCTTGGGGATGGATAACTTGATGCTGAGGGTGTTTTAAAAATCCACATGGATTGTCTCTTAAGCTTATTAAAAATGATAATAATAGGAGGGTTTGGATGTAGACACCCTACACAAGGGGTTAAGGTGACTCCAAAAAACCCCGGGTTCCACCCCCACCACTGAAAAAATAAAAGGAAAAAAAGAGATCCTGAACAACTTTCTCAAACCCAGATGCACACTAGAACCTTGCCATTAAATATGACCTATGCCTGGTTCTGCCCATAGACATGCTTCCAAAATTATCCTGGAGTCAGCATTCCTAAAACTCCCCTGGTAACACTATGTAACCAGGCAGAATTCCCATAGGGCCACAGTCATGACACTCCAATTGCTTCAAATATGACATATTAGTCCCAGGAAGAACATACTGCTGTGGCTACATCAGAAACATGACAATTCTCAAACTCCAGGTGCATCTCCCAGTAGAATGCATAACCAGGCACAAAAGAACCAGCATGCTATTTGGCTAGTTAGATATTTTCTTCGGAGGGATAACACACTGTTTGCTCACAAGCCTCCCACAAAGGAACCTTCTTAGTGTCTGTTGAGAGCAACCAACCCAGGCAGTAAAGTCTATAGTGATTTGTTTTTGTTTTTGTTTTTTGTTTTGTTTTGTTTTGTTTTTGTTTTTGTTTTTGTTTTGTTTTTGTTTTTGTTTTGTTTTGTTTTCGAGACAGGGTTTCTCGTTATAACAGCCCCAGCTATTCTGGAACTCACTCTGTAGACCAGGCTGACCTCAAATTCACGCACAAAAATCCACCTACCTCTGCCTCTAGAGTGCTAGGATTAAAGGCGTGTCACCACCACCGGGAAATTATTTTTTTAATATTACTTTGTTAGTTTTATTCTTTGACAATTTCATACATGTATATAACACATTCTGGTTCACTTACCCATCCTCTCCAATCTCTTTCTTCCCCTGACATTCCCCTTAGAAGTCTCTTCCTTACATTTAATGTCTTTTTTTTTTTTTTTTTTTTTTTTTTTTTGTCTTGTGGCACAATGATTTTTGACCATGGCTGACTGTGTGACTTTGAGGCACCCTTTGGAGTATGAGGAGCTCACCTATGGGTATCCGTGTATCTTAGTTACTCTCTGTTGCTGTGATAGAACATCTTGACCAAGGCAGAGGAAGAAGAGTTTGTCTGAGCTTACTGTTGTAGAAGGTCAGTGTCCAAATGGCATCATGACAACAGGCAACAGGCATGATGGCAAGGGCAGGAACTAAGAATTTCCATCTTGAGCCTCAAGCATGAAGCAGGGAGAGTGAGCTGGAAGTGATGAAGACTATTTTTTTTCCCTTATGGCTCACTCCTAGTGGAAGGGTGCATCACCAAAACTCTGTGCCACCAACTGGGGAACAAGTGTTCAAATGCCTGGCACCATGGGGGGCATTTCTCATCCAAGTCACTACAACAAGTGAAGACAGTGACCACCTCATCCCAGATCTCTCTCTCTCTCTCTCTCTCTCTCTCTCTCTCTCTCTCTCTCTCTCTCTCTCTCTCACACACACACACACACACACACACACACACACACACACCTTTAACTCTACCCTAGACCCACACAAGATCCAGAGGACCCACAGTGCCTTCTCCAGCAAGTGTTGAACTTACAAAGAATGGAATCAGGCCTGCTGCCTTGTCTTGCTCCAGGGCCTCCTGAAGGGCAGAAGCTCTCATGGAAAAGTTGCCATCCGAAGGAATTGTTTTTAACTTTACTCCACCAATTAGTCCAGCTCTTTCTACAGAGGAGTGTGCCTGCAATGAGAACACGTAGAGCTCAATCTGTGAGGGTATGTTGCCATGGCTCCTCAGTCAATGGCTGTGCAGAGCGCCTAGCCTGGGCTCTTGATGCCCCACGATGGTGACAGAGTTGGTTTCTTCTCTTCCTCTATGAAGTCACCTTCCCTAGATTGGTTTCCATCCTGGAATCTGGATGTTCAATCTAATGAATCAGGTAACGCCCAGAGTGAAGTGTTGGTTCTCTATTGATTTTTTCCCTTTAGTTTTATGATTTTAAACACATGTAGATTTAAATATATAGCAATATGCACACCAAAGGTGGTAGCGTTGTATAATAACAGAATGTGCCAGGCAGTGGTACACCAGCACTCTGGAGGCAGAGGCGGGTGGATCTCTGAGTCTGAGGCCAGCCTGAACCAGAGTGAGTTCTAGCATAGCCAGGGCTACACAGAGGAACTCTGCCTTGAAAAAGAAAACAAACAAACAAACAAACAAACAAACAACAAAAAGAATATATAACTAGCAAGATTAAAATGAAGAAAAAGGAACAATATAAAATAGTGAACCAAAAAGTCAAGTAAATAAAATAAGTGAGCTAGAACTAGTAAATTTCTATTTGCTGGGTTTTATGAGCATTGTAATGAACTCCAAGTCAGTCCTCTCAAGCCACAAGCTGGACTGAGTGGTCACAGCAAGCATGGAGCTTTTATCCCTTTTGCTAATAAGAAAAAATATAGGCTTTGAGAATGTACATGATTTACAAAGCTGGGATTTGGCATTCGGTTGGAGTCTCACTTCCAATTTTTCCACAGTGGAGTTTTAAAGGCAGGCCACAGGGGCACAGAGCAATTCCACATTACAGAAATGGTAACCAGCCAGTTGTGGGGGATCTCAGCATGTGTGTTTCATTTCTGACTAGATCTATCAAGCTCCCATGATAGAATAAGAAGTTTCCCCCCTCACGATCCCTGGGGAACTGCTTTTGGATTTGACATGATGCTAACTGTTCCTTGGACTCAGCTCTGGGATGGGAGGTGGGGGTGTTGGGCCAATGCCCACCCCAGCACTCTTACCTGATCTGATGTATAAGCGACCAGCTTTTCCATGATAGCAGCTTGTGTCAACCCTGGGGAGGCTGCCTGCAGCTGGCGGATCGCTTTAGTTCGAGCAGCCAGTAGGGCCACCAAGGTGGCTTCACTGGCACTCCCCTGAATCCAAGAGAAAAAAGGCCAAATGAAATTTGAAATGTTGCAAAGGAAGCCTTGTCTAAACTGTTGGAAGACATATTATTGTGTCCATAGTTTCCTTTAAAAGCTGAGCCAGAAATTGCAAAATGCACTCATGTTTGCATCTAACATCTGCAGGGGCTGGTTTAGCTCTTGTAATTAGTTTGACATTGCTTTATCCATATTATGTCCCAGTGAGCTAACATTCTGATCCTGTAGCATATACAAGACTCTGCAGGTGTTCTCTCATGGGTTCTTTAGGCCTGGTCTGGGACACACTGTCTCCACTTCCATCAGAGGAAGACTGATCCAGGGCGCCCTGCCCAATCCCTGCTCTGTGTTCCTATGCATGTGGACAGAACAATTTGTATTTGCTTATAACATAGGAATGCATTTTCCTTAATACACAGAGGTGGACTTGGACAGTTTCTCCCATTTCTTAGTGTAACAGGCTGAATTGTGCTCGCTCACTTGCTCGTTTCCTGCCCTGGACATGTTAAAGCCCTAGGCCCCAGCATCTCAGAATGTAGAGAAATAAGACCTTTAAAGCCAGCCGTGGTATACACTACATGATGTACACACACGTAGTCTTAGCACTAAGGAGGCTGATGCCTGAGGATAACTGTGAGTTCAAGGCTAACCCGGGTATGTGCAGGTTCCAATCCAGCTAGGTCCACAGTGTGAACTTGTCTCAAAATACCCATAAAAGAAGGGAGAAAGCAAGGAAGTTGGGAGGGAGGGAGTGACAGAGAGGATCTTTAACAATTAAATCTTTAGGGTAGACTCTAATCCAATCTGACTGCTGTACTGAGAATTAGAAACTAGCCAGCGGACACGCATACACAGAGGTGAGACTATGAGGAAACATAGTAATGAAAAACTCAAAGCTAAACTTCAGTCAAAAACAATCCTGCTGACACGTTGGTCTTGGCCTTCAGCCTCCAGGACTCGGCAATGAGTGTGCAGTTTCAGCCGTATTTGCTCTGTGCTTTGTTGTGGCAGACCTAGCAAACTAGCTCAAGAAACCTCAGCCATTTATTTCAGCAAAGTAAAAAGGAATTGTATGGAATTCATCTTTCGAACTAGAGAGTGAGAGAACTGGATTCAGTGCCTACTGTGTTATCCCGTGTAACTTGTAAAATATTCCTGTTTTTGAGGTTTTTCATCTTTAGGTGGTCCTCTGTAAGATTGCCTGGATTTGCAGTATGAGTTAGGCATGGTTAAAAGTGAAGCTCCATTTGGTCTTTCTTGGTACCTCCCAGCATTTGTGCTTAACTTCCCTGGCAGACAAGTCCCAGGAGAAAGCCGTCAGATTTTTGCTGATTCTGGAAGTTTATAAGAGCATGGAATTTTTTAGATAAATGTACAGTTCAGTGAACTGTGTAGAAATGCAAATTTTTCTTATTAATGTTTTATCTCCTTCATCCATCATGATATCCTACTTTGATCTCCCATCCACTGTTTTTACTTATTCTTTTGAATCCACTCCTGTTCCCCAAGGAGTAAGCCTTTCAAGCTAGATCTGTGTATCTTTACTAGTGTAGCTGTGATGCATGAGTTCAAATAAACAGATGGACCATGGTCTTCACTCGGCATCTGAGTGACTCATGCATCTCCTTCAGACTGGACTTTCACAAGTGGTTGTTTTGCACAGTCTCAGACCATGTCAAAGAAGCCTGGCTGACCAGACTGGCAGCTATTTCAGGAAATTCAAGCCTCTGAAGGCAGACACAGCCCCTCCCATTTCTTCTGTGCATCCCCCCCCCCCCACCACCACCACCTTTTTTCCCCTCCTGGCTTGCTTATTTCAGTCCCTCTGGCAACATTTTGTTTTTCAGAATCTGTTAAAAAAGTGGGTAGAAAGCCAATGGTGCATGCCTTTAATTCCAGCCCTAAGGAAGCAGAGGCAGTCGGGTCTCTATGTGTTCAAGCCCAGCCTGGCCTACAAAGTGAATTTTGGGACTGCCAGAGCTACATGGTAAGATTCTGTCTCAAAAAAAAAAAAATTGCTAGAAAAAATTCCCACCCTCTCTTCAGAGCCTTGGACACCTTTGTAATTAATGATTCTGTGTAGCCACTTCATACCACGGCATGCCAAGCTCACTATGAGTTCAGTGACCGCTGTCCATGTTCTGAGAGAAAATTCTTGATTTTTTTATTTTATCAACAAATAAATAGATAAATAAATAAAATTAAAGAGCTAGCAGCAAAGTCCAGTGCAAAAAAAAAAAAAAAAAAAATCACCATCATTAGAGCACTGAATCTCAACATGCCATTACAGATCCGGTTTGGGCACACTTGAACATCAAGGTGAGTGGCTCTCTGTCTCTTTCTGGAAGTGGAGATTTGCTGAAGGAAGAAAGAGAGAGCAATTGTTCTTTGTTAACTGAGCAGTGACAGAGCCCAGGCTGTCCATTGTGCTTTGTGGCCGAGAAGTGGGGAATTGAACAGACCTGAGCTGCATCCAGCTAAGCCCACACACTTGCTGCTTCCTTTACCTGGAACCACTTTCTCCCACGTCTTTGTGTGGCTCGCTCATGCCTTTGCTTCAGGCAGACAAAGGTTGCCATGGCGAGCCTGCTCTGAGGTGGGAGGGACCTTTTGGGAGGGTCGATGCTCAAGGCTGCTGATGCCCTGAGCCGAAAGGTCCTTTTCATCTTCTAGGTTTTACAAATGTCACCTCACACAGGGTAAGAAATTGGCAGCTTTTCTTCCACAAGAGCTTTCAAACCCAATTAAGAGACCCATTTTGCAGGTCTCATTTGTCCGGCCTCACAATGATGGTGTGCAGTTTCGGCTCAGACACCCACTGCTGCGCCAACGCTAAGCTGTGATTACAGCTCTGAGGGGATCGATAAGGCAGGCTGCCTCACGGGCTGTCACTGGGCTCAGGGCTCTTTAAGGCCTCACAAATTACAGACAATCAGCCTCGTGAGCTGAAAAGGGCCAGCTCCCTGCAGCAAACACACGGAAGTCTGCTTCCCACCAACCCAAACTAAGTGGGTTGAGCTCACAAGGGCTTTGTTGAAGCCTGGTCTGAGAGATGCCGCAATTATCCTAACCTAAGGCTGGAACTTCTAAAAATGAGATTGTCTTTAAAGACGGTTTAACCCACGGTAGCATTCAAACCTCCACACAAAGCAAAGAGCCTGGGCCAGCTGGTTGTTAACACACAGCACCGTCTTTTACACGCTGCCTTTAATTAGTTTCTGCCACTGGACTTTTTTGTATTCTGAAAACTATGGTTGATAATGCAACAAAGCCTCGTAAGTATTTTGAAGATGATAATTGATTATATAAAGCACAATACATAGGCTAAAACACAGGCTTGCAGTAGTCATTCAATAAGCTACTTGTAGAATTCTTTGAGAAGTAACAAACTAGAGGACTTATGTTTGGATACTAAAGACTCAAAACTGAAATTGTTTTCACTGTACGACAAGTGACCCAGAAATACTCTGGCTCTGTTCTGGTCTTGATGGAGCACAGATGTGTATCTGGAGGAAGCTGATGGTCCTGGAAGACCGTTGCCCCTTATCCTGAAGGCTGTCCTCTGAAACCTAACAAGACTGAAAAGTGTGATATGACATGAATATCTTAGGTGTTATTTAAATAAATTGTGGCACACCATAAAAAATTGTATAATAACAATATTCTCAAAGAATATTTGAACAAGAAGAGGACCAGTATGAAAGGAACAAGAAGGGATAGGTGCAGGGTAGAGGGGGTGGGTAAAAATACAGCATAATAACATGTGTGTGGAAGTGCCATAATGAAATGAAGCCAGCCCATTGCTTTATTCTCTGGAAATGTGAATCAAGAAAACGTTTTAGCCCGATGGTGGTGGCACATGCCTTTAATCCCAGCACTAGGGAAGCAGAGGCAGGTGGGAGTTTGAGGCCAGTCTGGTCTACTGAGAGAGTTCTAGGATGGCCAAGACTACACAGAGAAATCTTGTCTTGAAAACCGCAGGGGGTGGGGTAGGGGGCTGGAAAGATAGCTTAGGGGTTAAGAACACTCACTGGCTGCTTTTCTAGGAGTCCTGAGTTCAATTCCCAGCAACCACATGGTGGCTCACAACCATCTGTAATGAGATTTGGTACTCTCTTCTGGCATGCAGGTTTACATGCAGACAGAACACTGTACACATAGTAAATAAATAAATCTAAAAAGAAGAAGAAGAAGAAGAAGGAGAAGAAGAAGAAGAAGAAGAAGAAGAAGAAGAAGAAGAAGAAGAAGAAGAAGAAAAGAACCTCTGACAGTGGAACCAGGATGTATGGTGCATGAAAGGGATACTCCCTTAGCCTAGAGACAGGAGGGATGACCTAGGCCCTACTCCAAAATCCGATTTGACAGATTTTGATGATCCCTCCTGGAAGACCTCACCCTCCTTGTGGAGTGGGTGGGGGAATGGGATGGAAGGGGGAAGTTGGGGGAGGATGGGAAGGAAAGGGAACTGGGATCAATATGTAAAATAAGAAAATATAATAAAAAAAATAAAAGACCCTCCCCCCCCAAAAAAGGGAAAGAAATAGTTTTAAATGTCTGAGGGCCAATGAGATGGCTAGGTACAAAGACATTTTACCCTGCAAGCTTGGTGACCCACATGAAGGTGGAAGGCAAATCTAACTTCACAAAGTTGTCCTCTGACCTCCCCATGAAAGTGATGGCATGAATATCCACACACACCCATCATGCACACACACAATAATAGTAGGAGTAGTAATGATAATAATAATAATTAATAATGATAAACAAAATATTTAACTATAAAAAATAAGACATTATTCAGAAAATGTATATGTATTGTATCATCTTAATTTATGTAACCCACAAATGTAAGGATACTAGATAAGACAAAGAGAGAATTATACTCTAAAATAGTTGCTGTATTTTCCCATTTCTACAGTGAGTGCCCATTATCCATAAATACAGAGGGCACGATAATTTTTAAAAGTGAAATCAAAACTGACATTGAAGATAGTAAATTGGCAATGTGGAAAATTACAGTGATACCCAGAAAACCATGTGCAATTATTGAAAATATAGAGGAGAAAATGACCAAAAAAAAAAAAAAAAAAGGGGGGGGTAGGAACTATTTAAAGAGAGAGATTATGGAAAACGTACTGAGTCTATGGAAATTTTAGCTCCTGAGAAGTATGCAAGTGGCCTCCTCACTAACAGGGCAGAGAAAAATGCCCCAAGGTAGACAGAAGGCTGGGTCATGAGGAGGGCTTACCAAATGCTAAGATCTCAAAGAGTGTGGAGTTACAGCGAGAGCTTGCTCTGGGGTCAGGCCTACTGTGAAGAGTGAGACACTTGCCCAGAAATAAATCGACCAGAATTCCAGGCCAGGCCTCTGCAGACAGCTCGGCTGGCCTCTGCAGCCCCGACAGGCTGTCTCTTCTCCAGATACTCTGGCTTGATTGTCCTTGTCAAGGACAGCGAGAGTGTCCCTGGAAAATCAGGGTTCCAACATCAGAGCCTGGTTAAGCCACCAGGGCTGCACCTAGCAGAAAGGCCTCTGACTGCATTTTGGGGACTTGTCTGTCGGCCCCCTCTCAGACTGGAACAACACTTGTACAATTCTTTTTAGCAGAGGTCGGACTGTGCCACATAACCTCTGAAAAGAAGAAAACGGTTCTGTGAAATTATATTGGGACTTCCCTAGGACATCCCTGCTGCCATTTGTAGAAGTCTGTTTCACAGTTTATGCTTTGGTTACAGTACAGCAGATATGTACATTTACTAGAATATATATAGGGCCTCATGTGGACCACGCTGGTGTGAATTCACTGAGGATGGCTATGAACTCCTGATTCTCCTGTCTGCACCTCTCAACTGTTGCTATTACAGGCAGTCCCAGCCCACCCAAATCTAGTTCATTTTGATCAGCTCCCTACTTCCAGTGACTTAGAGATGACAAAGTGACCTGATCAAAAAATGTAAAGCATGGTTTGAGCCACAGTACTGCTGCCGGCCCACAGATCTCTGCATCAGAATGAACAAGAATTCACACTTCCAGGCCCACCGGAGTCCTGCTGAGTTTGACTCTCGGCTTGCTGGCTAGGAACCGGCAAGTCCTTCCCAGGCCTCTTCTGCAGACAGCCTACAACACAGATTGCATCCCCCACCGCCAAGATGCCAGGCCTTTTTCCCAGACTGGGAGATTGTTTACCTTTCAGGGGAAAAGGGACTCTGCTGATGTGATTACAGTAAGAACCCTGACTTGGAAAGATTATCTTGGATTATCAGAGTGGACCCAATCCTATCACACGGGTCCTTAAAAGTGGAGACCCGATTTCACATCTGCAGTCAGAACATGACAGTTAAAGAAAGGTCAGTGAGATGGAACACAGCTGCTTCTGGAGATGGAGATGGGAGTCTCAGGCCAAGGAATTCCAGAGGGCTTTAGAAAACTTGAGGAGGTAGGGAAATGGATTTTCCCCTTGGGCTTCTAAGATGACAATCTTGATTTTAGCTCGTTAAAACCTAAGTCAGACTTACAGAACCATAAGAAAATAAATGTGTTTGAAGCCACTAAACTATGCATAGCACCCTCAAGGAAAAGGTCATACATTGGAGGTCAAAACTTACTGAATAGTCAGTCTCAGGACTGGAAACTGAAGGCCTTGCTTCCTAGTTTAGTTTGGCCACACTAGACATGTGATCTTCCACAAAGGAATTCTCCTGTCAGCCCCAGGGTTCTAACCCATAAAATATGTGGAGCCATCACTGCTCTACCTTACACTCGGAGCTTCAGAGAAAACAATAGATATATTTAACTCCTTCTTTCTAAGTTAAAGATACTTTCTCGGTATTACAGCCATAAACTTGACGTGAGAAAAATACGCAAGGAGGGGTGACGAATTAATGTAGTTCATTGCTTGTGTTACTAAATGTTTCTTAAAGGCTCACATTTGCTGGGACACGGTGGTACATTCTTTTAATATCAGCCCTGGGGCCCTGGGGCCCTGGAGGCGGAGCAGGTGGATCTGAGCTCAAGACAAGCCTGCTGTACATAAGTGAGATCCAGGCCAGGCCAGGGCTACATAGTCAGACCCTGTCTCAAAAAAAAAAAAAAAAAAAAAAAAAAAAAAAAAAAAAGGGAGAGAAGGAGGGGGTCATAAATTCCAATCATTCACTCTGAAGATCCTGGTGGAATGGAAAATTCACCACGGCTGTCATTTGCATCTGTTGTGTGCCCTCATGTAAGCCCTACAGTTGTTCGAGTGAATCTGAGAATGAATTAAATGTATGCACGGACATAGCAGAGGCCTTAGGTAAGCTGTTGGCTCGCAGACAAGTAGCACATACAGACATTGAAGCATGGCCACAGCTGTCACTTGTGGTAAAAACAGGATCCTTTGGTGACATCAAGACCTTTAGGTTCTGGAATACACTGGCACAAGGTCTATAACTTCTCAGTTAGAAGCTGAGAGGTAAGTTCTCAGTTGTTCTGTGCCTCAGTTTCTTCTGTTGTAAAAACAGCACCTAATTCACAGTGCTTTGAGGAGTAATTGTGTCTGGAGAGAGCTTAGGCATGGCGGCCAGCAATGGATACCCCAATAAAAATACTTGCTTTGTTATTCATTGCCTATGTGGTAGCCACTGCTCTATCTACCAGAAGGGCCTGTGCAGATAAGTGCTCTCCCACAGCTCGTGGGAAGCAGCACCAGGATCCAGATCCCATCAACTCCAAGAGCAGGGCTTCCCAGCTTTCCTGTCCTCTGGAAGGCACAAAGCAGCATGGACTCTGCTTTCTGTTTGCAGCTGTGACCCTTTGTGGAACCCACACTCCCAGAAGACTGCCTTCCCCACTCTTCCCACCTTACCTGGATCACTCCTCCCCCTTCACCAGCTCTTCCAGCCAAAAAGGCCTCTGGCAACTGCAACATCTTCCCCAGCCAATCCATCATCACTGTCTCCAGCTCTGTGCAGGCTGGGCTCGCAGCCTGCAGTGGGGGTGGGGGTGGGGGAGAGTGAGGCGCTAAGCCACGGGGCAGCTGGCCTCTGCACAAAAGGGTGACATGGGGAAGCATTGCTTCTTTGGTGACTTTTATTTGATCAATTTAGCACAAAAGTTCACATTTTTGTCCCCCAAATCCACTCTTGGTGAGGAATTAATCCCTTGGCCTCTGTGTTTTGAGCGAGCCTTCCCACATTCGGATGTTGAAACCTGAACCCACTGTGAGAGTCCTGAGAGGTGGGGGGATGTTATCGTTAACCAGCCTGTGTGGCGGCTGCTTGGTCCTGAAGTGTTGGAAAATGAGTCGTCTCAGGAGCGAACTAGATAGAAATGAGGAAGTTCACCCCAATTCTTGTCTGTTTCATGCATGCCTGCTGTGATCACACAGCAGGCGTTGCTGCCAGATGCCAGTAGCATGTTCTTCACACCCTCAAGTAGACTTCTAATGTTTATAAAGGATTCGGCCTATGGTATTTTGTTCTCCCCCAGCAAATGGATTGAGACAATGCTGTGTTCTCATTTCCCAGAGATCTGGAGGAGCCTCGGGGTTTAGCACTGCCAAGAGGCCTGGAAGCAGGGGCCTGGGCCTGGCAGCACTGATAGAATTTTACAAGGAGGACATTTCTCTGCTCGTCCTGCACTTTTTCCAGATATGACCCAGGGAGCCAGCCGTGCTGGGTAGATCTGTACGGGCCCCTTCTGACTTACTTCATCATCTCCGTCGTTTCTCCGTGACAGGAGGTCTCCGGGTGAAAGCTGAGAACAGTCCCTGGATACATGAACCTCCCCACCCCACCCCCATCCCCACCACACACAGCCATGGTTCTTTAGGAGCAAACGCTGAAGCAAGGGCCCAGACACTGAGTAATTTGGGGTCAACTCGGACTGAATCCCAGATTAAAATCTCCTAATCCCAGATGGGCCTCAGATGCCTGAACTCAGTCTTAGACACAGCTTCTTTCATCCACATTGGTGCAAGGAGAATTGTACCCTTGTGAACCCGACTCCATCATGCCTGCCCTGACTGCTTGTGCACTGAGTGCTTGATCGTAGAACAGAACAAGGCAGAAAGGTCTACTGGTAGACCCTCCTCTGAGACCATGAGTGAATTTTAGAGTGCAGGATGGAGTCAAGAAAATGGACATTGGCTACTTTGAACTGCTAGGCAACACCACACAGGCTACTCATCTGATATAGTCTTTTAATTCCCCAGTCACTTGGTGACTGGCTCCTCTCTTCTCATTGCACACAGAAGGTGGCTGGGTACTCTTAGGTCTAGGCTTCCATTTGGAGCAGAACTTGGTGACCAGAATACTCATGTAGCTACCTGTGCATTCTGGCATTAAGACACATTGATGACAAGAGCACTTTCTCCCTGCTGGTCAGATGGTCATCCCCAGCCTGGTGGGTTCTCCAGCATGCAGTCAGACTAATCCTAACTCCAGGCATGGGAACCAGCATTCCCTGTTATGAGCACAACCTCTGAGGCAGGAAGGCAGACATTTCCTCATTCAAAACCTAAAACCAGTCTAGAAGAGCAGATAAACCAGAGGTTGATGCTGGGTCTCCAGACAGACACGCCAGGAGAGCAGAACTACACCCGTGAAAGCTGCCTACGCAACATCTAATGAAAGAAAAAAGGGTACGCTCAGCCTAGGCCAGGTCTGTCCCCAGGAGAAGGAGTTCCCAGTTGCCTAACAGAAGAACAATAGCAGGGAGGCCTCCTTAGCTCTCCCATAAACAGTGACTCCCGCTTGCTGGGCCCCTGAGGATCCCAGCTTGAAGCAAAACAGGTGTCACACGGAGGAGAATTCCTAAGTTGTCCCCACTTTCTATATCCCAGGTCCTCACTCAACACTTGTCAATACAAGTGGGCTCCAAGGCACAGAAAAGAGAGCTACTCTCCGTCTAGAGAGTCAAAGACAGTTCTAGGCTTTGGGGAACTCTTCATAGTGTGGGCAGCCCCAGAACCTGAGAGTCAATGGCACCTACTTTGAGTCTCTCCTGACGCACACAGCTGGGACACAGAGAGCAGGGAGACCTAGGCCTGAAGCTTTCAGAATGGGGGACTTTCTAAGTCTTTACTCCATGTGGGAAGAGACCTCACACAGGGAGGGCTGGATGGCCTGCAGGCAGCCCTAAGCCTATTTCCAGACACTTTTGCTCTGCATACTTGCCCATCAGATAGGCTGGGCAGTAGCTTGGTGGGGGGCAGATGGAACAAGACAGGGGTGGTAGCATTCTCAGACTTCAGAGCACATAGCAATCTTCTGGTCTTAGGGGAATGTAGGATCCAGCTTTGGCCTGCAGAAACTTCATTGCCTTAGACTGGGATTTTGATTCAAGTGTTTATAAAACAAAACAAAACAGCCCTGTGCAGAATCCTCTTCTCTTCTGTTCTCTTCTCCCTGCTTTCCTCCCTTCCTTTTCTCCTCTCCTCCCTTCCTTCTCCTCCCTCCCATTCCCCCTCTCTCTTTCTCCTCCTCCTTCCTCCCTCTCCCACTTCCCATTTAGAATTTCTCATCCACCCCACCCCCAGGCCAAACTATTCTCTGCAGTGTCCCTGCTGCCTACAGGTGACAGAGCCACCTGTTTCTGTCCTGAGTATAGAGGGATCAGCTCCCCGTGCAAGGAAAGACCCCACCACAGGCTCTTGGAGATACTCACCCAGGTGAAGCCAATGCAGCCAATAGCCCCACACAGCATATCTGCCAGCATGGCTGGGTACGAGCTAGCCGTGGGGAAGTAAGCGAAGAAATAGGGACTGTGCCAGTGTGTTACCTGTGGGGAGGTGGAACAGTTACTCTGGGGCAAAGGAGTCAAGCTGCAACCGAGCAAGGTTGTACACAGGGTGCACACAGATGTCAACTTGGATAAAGTTTCCCAAATGAAATCATCCCACAATTTCTGATTTCACCCATTACAGTGAACAGACTCCCTGTCTTGTGCCTAAATATTTTTGCTAGCCAAGAAGATAGTGCTGTCTTCATAAGATAATATGGGAAAATATTATAATTTGTCGTAATGCATGAAGCCTCTAGGTAGGAACAATACTGTTTCAGGTTTTTGCTGGGTGCCCGGGACACAGAAAGTGCTGCACCACACATCTGAGATCCTAGAGTAAAAAGCTTGATTTTCCCCCAAATTGCTCTATAAAATTCAGTTGCTTTTGTTTATTTTGTTTTTAATGCCCATTTCTTAAAGCATTTCTTTCATATGGTCCCTTCCCACTCACTGGCTTGCACAATATGCTCCTGCCAACAAACCAGTAGCCTTATGAGGAGCTGCTGTCCCCCTACCTTCTCCAGCCCTGCTCCATGCCAACCCTGGATTAGGTACAGAGGAAAAGCTCAGGTTGACTATGGAGGAGATACACCTAGATGGTGTTCTTGGGAATCCCAGGAGTGATGGGAACCAGGGCAGTGGTGAAGACATATGACCAATATTGGTTCCATGGGCAGAATCTTCCCCTTGCAATGTGTTGAAACCCTATCCCCAGCTATAAATGGCAGTATGAGGAAGCAGGGCCATGGTGAGGTACTTAGGTCACAGAGTGGGGCCTTTGTGATGGAACTTTGGCTCTTCTAAGAAAAGATCAGATTGGCCATAGACTAACAATTCCAGGCTCTATGGAGGGCAATGACATTGTATCCATTTGGAAGATCTGAACCCCCCCCCACACTCACATACACACACACACACACACACACACACACACACACACACACACTCACATACATACACACACACACACACACACACACACACACACACTCCAAATTTTAACCAAAAATTTCTGCTCTTGAGTCATTGAAAGTTGATGCGCTGTGTAGTGATTTGTAGCAGGCTAAGGAAGTATTACTTTCTCTAAAGTTCAAAAGGTTTATATGGTTCTGATCTAAAGATTCCAGAAAGGGGTCTACTGATTCTCTAAATCCAGGAGCTGGGTTTCCTTCTGTGTTGTTAGCCAGTGAGACCATCTTGGATTTTCTCTTCCAGATCCTAGCCCAATAAATTCTCTCTTTCATTGATTATAAGACAAAACTGTTGAGTTTTGGGATCTCTGAAATCAGGATGCATCCTCCAGTGTAAGGAACAGTCTCATGCAACCTACCCTCTGTCATCGCCAGACTTCTGGGATGAGGCCATTATGCACAGCCGTAGGCTGATATTTTTTAAAATGATAGATTTTTATTTTTTTTTAAAGGATATGTCTGTCTTGGGGAAGAGATTTCACAAAGTGAACTGAGGGCAGAGACATAAAACAAGCACTCATTCTTCACCAGTGTATAAGGAAAGATGATCCCTGGGAGCAGGAGGGGCCTAGATCCTGTCGTTATAGAAGCCGGGAGCTCAAATCACTCCATGTAAACATTGAAGGAAAGATGAAAGTAAGGGTCTGCAGGATGTGAGGGGCATTGGATGTCAGGAACAGGAGGAGCTATTAGAGGGAAGAGGCTAAGAGTGGTGGTGGGGGAGGAGGACGAAGAAGAGGAGGAGGAAGGGATCAGAGAGCTGGCTTTCTACCACTGGAGGGTACAGAGCCGCTCACTGTAACCTAACCTCCAAAAACCGGAGAAATGTTGAAGTCACCTCGTCGATGTGCTTTATTACGACACCACGTTATGGGGCAGCTCCTAAGAATCCCCAGAGCTCAGTGTGTTAGAGGCCCAGTCCCCAAGGTGGCACTATCTGGAGGTAGTGAGAGGCCTTAAGGTCCCTGCTGATGTTCCCTCAAAGAGGACTGTAAGATGGTGGTCCCCTCCTCTTTCTCTGTGCTGCTTTCCCACTGTGACTTGAGGAGATTTTTCTCTGCCACATGCTTCTACCATGATGCACTGGCTCACCACGGGCTAAAACTATAAGCCAAAATGAACCTTGTCCCTGTGTGTTTGTCATTTCGGTTATCTGCTACAGGCCCAGAAAGCTGACTAACACATTGCCATTTTCCATAGTCTTTGCAAAGATGTAAACATGTCTTTTCTCAGGAAAACCACACATTAGACATTTACTGGCCCATACGTGGCACAAGGAACCCCAGATTATGATTATGAAGATAACCAACTAGGATAGCTCATTAAAAGCTGGAAGATTCCAGCAAGACTCATTGCATGTCTGCCTCCAGGCCTGGGAGTGGGACAGAGCCAGAGGGAGGGGAAAAAAAAAGTGAGAGTGAAAGAAAATCAGGGTTAGCAAGAACAGGAAGGGGGAGGGGGGAGGGGGGAGGAAGGGAGGGAGGGAGGCTGACAGTGAGTCCCAGAGGCTCTGGAGAGCTTCACAGGCTGAGTGATGTGCTCAGCAAAGCAGGAGTGGGGCCCATGAGGCTTTAGAAAGAAAAAAGGGGGAAAAAAGAATGTTCAGATAAAAACCAAAACATCTGCAGTGGTAATGTGCTTGTCTTTGCGGAAATGCCTTTATAAAGTGTAACTTGCAAAGGCCAGTAGAGGAAGAGGCCAAAGACTTCACAAATGCACAGGGCCAGAGGGCACAGCTGAGCCTGGGGCCGTCGTTTCTGTCAGGTATCTGGAGGCCCCACACTGCCTGTGGGGCCTCCACACTCTCTTTCCTCACTACCCAGGTCTTGGAAAGGCCAGGGTGATTCTTGACTGGAAAGGACACTCCTCTGCCTTGCTCGCTGTGAACAGCCATAGAGCATGTGAACTGGATGGTCCCACACTGGCTGTGCACAACACAGAATTTTCATGAAGCTTTGGGGGGGGAGGGTCAAGCACAGGGCTGGCTGGAACTGTCGCCCAGGGAGCTAACCCCAGAGCCTGTGCATTTCCCAGCTTTGCTCTACCCAGCGAATGCTCCTATAGAGTGTGGATTCCTGTAGGAAGACTGCACAGTTTTTCCCAGCACCATGCTCCTGTATTCCTCCATGGCCTGACATCTGACTGTGTCTCCCTGCACTGGGCTTTGTGCTGACTGGCTTTGCTTCTTTGTTGAACTTGCAGGCCAGAGCTAGAATTTTGAGTTTTACTCAAAGAACAAATGCCAGGGGAAATCTCCTGGAGATGAAACTTGACAAGGGCTGTGAGAGGTGTTCTGGAACTGAGGCGCTGACTCTGAAGCCTGTGACTTTGGCTGACTAGCGGCCTCCCCAGAGCCTCTGAATTCTATCTGGGAATAAGCATGAGTACCCACTATCTCAGCACCACCACCACCACCACCACCACCACCCCCCCCCCCGCCCTGCATGTCACATGCTCGTCTCTCTGCCTTGCAACCACAGCCACCTAACTGCCAGCTTAGACTTTACACATGATTTGGTGACCAGGGTCAATCTCAGCTGTTCAGAATCAGGTTAAGACACAGTCTTTTAGGTAAATTGTTTGATGGGTAAAGTAGTACTGTGGAGACACACCGCTGGGGTTCTCTGCAAGCCTGTGATCCCTCTGACTATCAGGAATAGCTCAGCTATTCTGTGCCTTTGGGCAGAAGCAGTGTACACTGCCCATACCCAAACAAAATGAAGACAGCATTCCCTCGGTTCATAAAACTTACCTTTTGATAGATAGAAAATGCTATAAATGCCTTTATTTAGGATAACTAATTAAACTATTTGCAATCAACCACCAGGAGCTTGTTTTTTTCTCGACATCATAGGACAGCTAGGAACCGAGTATGGTAAAGCAAGTACTGAATCTTGGGGGTCTTGGGAGAAAACCCCTACTCTGCCTTTGGAGCCCAGGTAATTTGAATCTCATTTACTATCCCCATGAGAGCTCTGTGGACCATTCAACTTCTCTAAATCTCAGTGTCTCAACTGAAGCAGAAACAATGGTACGAGTTTCTCTTTAACCTGTTTTGGGGAACCCATGACACTAGAACTGTAGCTTCCTGTAGATGTTATATTAGCATAAGCCTTTTTGTCATGTCATCTCATATACATACTCACCCCTGGCATAATTATCTTCTCAATGTCTTTGATTATGTCTTCATATGCTTCTGGTTCCTGGGGGGCAGCGGTGGGGATCAGGGGTCTAAGGTAGCCGGGCTCCACATCAGGATACACAGGGCGTCCCTCAATGCCTTCCAGATAGTCAGCTATATAATCCACCATCTCCTTCCCTCTCCTTCGGAATTCACTTGAATCCATGTGGAAAACTGCCCATGGAGAGAATAGGAATCAGCCAACAGAACATTATACCTCTGAACTGGATGGGCAAGTCCAGGGGTCAATGACTACATCTTAGAGATGACAGCTCAGCACCCTTTGCTTTCTCCCACATCTGGATGAGAGAAGCATGCTGCTGGGTCCACACAGTGCAGCACAGCGCCCGGGCCGCATCTCACAAGACACTCAGCAGAAGGCCCCACAGCACCCTCCAGCTTATTTTTTATTTCAGGAAAACACAAGAAGCATACATTCATGGATTCTTCCACCTTCAGTGACAAACACTGGTGCCCATTCTGCCTGTACCCTTTGTTAGCCGTTTGAAAGAGCCTTGCACTTGGAGCCCCCAACCTCCCCGCCCCCATCAGCCGAGATAAAGATGATAATGCCAGTCAGTCGCTGAGGAGTGGGTGAGGGCATGACCACCATGTGAGTTCAGCCCAGAGCCCAGGACAGCCCAGCCCTGGCCCAAGTCGGAGATGCCATTTTCTGGAATCCCACCTCCTGGTGACCTGCACCTTTGCCTACAGTCTGCTTGTCAGAATGGCGCTCTCTTTATTTCACCCATGTCACACACGCGGGCAGCTATGACTGTTCATGCTCATTATCTTCACCAACACTGCAACAACCTGAGTGGTGCTGACTAACAGTTATTTTTCTCCACAGAGCTTACTGCCGCGCTTGCTGGGGCTGAAGATCACGTGACAACACTTTTGCAGTACATTTTGAGGGTCATTTTAAACAGTCTAATCACTAAGAAAAAAATAACAACATAAAGGATGAGGTCAAAACAGATTGGAGGGGGAAAAAAAAAAAGGAGGACTCTTATTTACATCACAAGAGTTCAAACACAAGGCAGAGCATCGCCTTGTTCAACCTCAGAGGGATTGTGAGCCTCTGATGATTCACACAGTGCCCCCACCCCTCCCTCTCTGCACTTGGTCACCAAGGCATAGTGAGCCTTAATTGCGGATCCAGATACAAGTTAGCATGCAGGGGAATCTGAATGTCTGGAATGTACGTATAGTAAAAAATCAAATGTATTTGCAAAACAAGAAAGATGGACAACCCCCTAGAATCCTATCATCCCCAATTGTAACATGTGTCTTTCCTGAATAGTTCCTAAATTTGTGAGAGACAATTGAACGCTAAACAAAGGATACATTTCTAAATCCCTCCCTTAGTCCAGAGCTTTGTAATTGAAGATGGATTTTCCATCAGAATAAGTACTGGGGATGAGTCAAATCCATTGTGATTAGCAATGGGGCTGACCTTCATGTCATGTTCCCAGCACTTCTCCATGCTCCCCATTGTCTGGGTGGGGAAGGGGGGTTGGACAGATTTTGTGATGTTAAATGCATTAGAAATGATTCATCAGGCACTTTTTTAAAATGGGAAGACAGACTTTTTATTCAAGAGTATTGCATAGGGGAAAGAGTTTGACCTCAACTTTGAAACACCAGGGACAGATGGGGAATTGTAGCCAAAGGGGATTACCCTGGGCTCTCCAGAGGAGTGAAACCCACCGTATACATATACTTCTAACTACAAAAGGGAGTTTATTGGATTGACTCACATGCTCAGAGGCTGTTTATTTCCACAATGGCTGTCAGCAAGCTGGAGGACTGCAGAAACCAGTTGCCACTTAAGTCCGGGGAACTTTGGGATAGGAGACACCAATGATGCAGCCCCAGCCAGAGGTCAAGGCCCTGAAGGTACCTCCTCAGGAAGTCATTGGGTGCTGGGACTTATTTATTGAGAGGCTAAAGAAGCTGGAGCCTGATGTTCACAGGTCACAGCAGCTGCAAAAATGTATGCCTGCTATAACAGAGACTTCCTCTTTCCGTCTTTTGACTCATCTGACCCAGCCTATCAATGCTGCTCAGATTCAAGGCTAGCTTCCCTTTCAGTTCACTGACCACCTTCTAAGGGTTTCTGGTAATGCCTTCCCAGAAGCATCAAGAAATGTGCTTTACCAATTTCCTAGGTGTCTCTAACTCCAACCAAATAATAAGAAAGGATAATAAAAACCAGTGGGTAAGAAAAATTACTGACAACATGGATGTTTAGTCTTGGGGTTGGGAGGTAGCAAGCTGGGTCAGATACCAAGGGTGGAAGGAGATGAATCTGATTAGCAATGTCAGCCCAGTATACTTAGCAGGGTTTCTTTGTCAAACTAGGCTTAAACTGACTAAGGTTGGGTTAGACATAGATGATATCCAGGGACAGCTTGTCTTCAGGATTCTCCTTCCTCCAGTGTTCTCTGCTAAAGGGAGAACACACAGGAACATTTTACAGGGGCCCAGCCCCCATTTCAGAGTTACCATTTGGGTGCACATTTCAGCCATGAGTGCTTGGGAGACGATGATGCATAAGATAAGATTTAAATTACAGCAACAACAAGTGCTAAACTAGCAAGAGCAGGGAAACCATGCTGATAAATGCATTTCTGTTGCATGCCCTCTCCTGATGGCATTACTACACACTGCGACAAGGCTACAGTCAGACATTGTGCCTCCATTGAGGAATATCATCATCATCTTTTCTCCATTCTGTTAGTGGGAAGGTGTGGAGAGAGGGCAGATTCCAAGGCTGATACTTAGGGTAAGGGGTGACCTGCTCACACTCAGGCCCTCACACACTACATGAATTGCTACCACACTAACCCTTGTTTACCTTAACTGAAAACAAAAATCGAGATAAATATGAATTTATTGTAATATTAAATAAATTTATAGAAATAGCTTTGAACAGTGGTACTAAATAATCACTCAAGAACTGTCAACTAGTAGCTCCCCCGTTGTTCGTATTTTCATTTTCTAAGGTTACTTGCAGTCAAGTGCAATTCAAAAACATTAAATGGAAAATGTGTGCATTTTTAAAATTGTGCATCACTTTGAATAACATGATGATGTCTCTGCCTTCCTGTTCCATGTCACTCAGTACAGGAATCATCCCTTAGTAGGACCGTGTTTCTCCACTGTATGTATTACCTGCCTGTTAGTTACTTGGTAGTTATCAGGCTGACTGTCACAATATAGCAGTCCTTTCGTTCAAGTAAACCTTGTACTGATGCAGCAACTGCTTTGCTGCATATTAGGTATCATCAACTTCTTTCTATGTCTCATTTATTGAATGAGCTTCAGCACAGGTATGAATGCATAGGATACATTTCTATCCTTAGTTTCAGATAGCCTCTGTAGGTCTTGAACTGTATTGCCCTGTGAATGATAGGCAATTACTGTAGGAGCTTATCTTTACAACTCCAAATTGTACCTCTTATCTGTTGTTGCATATTTTTTGACTTACATTTAAAAAATCCTAAATGTGGAAAACATTTATTTTTTTATCGTTTCTTTAGAATAAAATTTTCTAGAGATATATGGCTTTAATGTTTTTACGTTAGAACTGCCAAGTTTCTCTGAGCACACGCCTTTATCAAGTTACTCTTCTAATGGGGACTGTGGTACAGTCGTTGAGGTTAATTTTAAACTTCACCCGTCTCATAATCATGAATGGTTCTCTTTTAACGTTGACTATTGAAATCAAATAGTGTTCTGATGTTTCTTTGACGTTTAGATTTCTTCATTTATGAATTGCTTATTCATTATATTTTTTCCACTTGGATATTAGCAATTTTTTAAAATTTAATTGCAAGGATCCTAACATATTAAAAGTTCTACCCTCATTTCTATGATATGTTTTATGACATTTTCCTCCTTTAGGCCTGACCTAATTTGGTATGATTTTATTCTGATTTATAAGAGTCAGAATAAAGAGGTCTTATAAGAGCTTTAATTTTTATATGGCAAAAACCTCACAAATTTCCCCTTCTGATTTGGACCTTGTATGTGATTTTTATAATCGTCTTTTAAAAGGAGCCATTTTTGCAGTCTCTGTTTGCCTACTTGGGGGGGGTGTATGTGTTGCAGGAAGCTGAAGTCTCCAAAAGAGAAGCCCTACAAAGCTAAAAGAGACCCTCAGCCTCTCAGAAAAGCACCAGCCATGTCTTTCTACTGGGAATAAGATAGTTTTATGGATAAAGCAGGATGTGCCAGGGAAAAAACAAACAAGCACGGCCCAACTCACTATGAAAGGAAATATTCCTAGGCAAACTGTAATATAATACTTGGTTATTCTTTTCAAACCATCCTGTCATTTATTTGGAGATTATTTCCCACTGAAACCTTTGCAGAAGGTACTTAGGGCACAGCCTCAAGAGCCCTCAAGCTCATTTTGGAGCTGTCTGATATTCATGGCTCCAGGTTGGGCAAATATTAGCTGGAAGATGCAGACTGTGATAAGGGCAACGGCCTGTACTTCTCCAGACCCCTGAAAGGGTTTCTGTTGACACAACCTGATCTGTCTTGGCAGCAGCTGCACTGCATGGATTTTGCATGCAACCCCTGAAATCTTTGGTGCATGTGTGGAGAGCCAGGCACCTCCCTGGATGTTTTATTTTATCAGTGACAGTCAACACAACTCCATACCCATGGGCTTCAGAGACATATGAACTCCCCCTGAACTCTCTCAGGCCCCCCAATCAACCCTCTGTTAAGAAGTTATTATTGTTGTTGTAATTTACCCTTCCACTGCTGTCCTTAGGTAACTGAGAATGAATAAATCAATCAATCAACTTGGCCTTCTAGATATTTTATTTCTGCTCTACTCTGTATTGGATTCTATCTGCCTTTTGTGACAACTTTCAACACCGGATCACTACATCTCTGGTAGAGTCTTAGCTACTAGAGTGAGGCCCACAGCCACAGCTTCATCTGGCCTTTGAGCTACATAATTTTCATTATGCCTAGGCTACAGCTTCTATTCTCAGTTTTCCTTACTGGACTCCTCTGCCATAGACATTTTCCCAGAGCCCGGTTCAGGCCCCTCCAGACATTCTTATACTTGGTATAGGAATTCTGCTTCACGGAACCTCGGTGAAGGAAAAACGTGAAGCTCATGTCGGTACCATGGTGTACACAGTGAGCTCCCGTGTGCTGAGGGAAGAACAGCAGAGTTCTGAGCACCCATGCATAGTCTAGCCTAGCATTTCACATTTTCCATGCTTCCATCCAAGGTTTCTAGCCATGAGGAATCTCTAATAACTTGAGGAATGGCTATCTGATGCTTTACCTCACAACAGGCACAAAATTCCAAGTCCCTTGAGCCTTTTTAAACGTTTAAGATTCTGGCTAAGTGGCATGTCTTAAAATGAACTTTTGGTGACCATGTTTTGTTGCTGACTGTGAAGAACAGGAGTAGTCCAAATTGGCTCAAGAGCAGCCTTGGTATGTGCCAGTGTCAGGTGACCCAAGGTCAAGGGCACTTCTTTCGTTACCATGGAGCCTTCAACCTTCAACCTTTCTAAGGTTTCCTGTCAGCTCCTGCAAAGGCAAACAGGCATAAAAGCACCCCCAGGAGTGCCATCGGCAGGATGAAAGGAGGCCACATGTTGAGTGCCTGCAGCAGAGTCCGTACTCAGTAAAAACTTTTATTAGTAATCAGGGAAGTATTGTGCAGGGGAAGAGGGGAAATCCTCCTCTCTTCTCCTCTCCTCTTCTCTCCTCTCCTCTCCTCTCCCCTCCCCTCCCCTTCCCTCCTCTCCTCTCCTCTCCTTTCTTCCCCTTCCCTCTTTTCTTTTCCTTCCCATTCACCTTCTGCCTCCCAGACTGGATTGGGGCTCACTGTGTAGCCTAGGCTGGCCTTGTACTTCTGATCTTCCTGCCTCTACTTCCCAAGTTTACAAAGCACAGCCTATTCTGCTATACACAAGAAGTGAAGTTGGGTATTCTAGTGTTTTAAGTAGAAGGAAAATTCACTGAGCAGAAGCCCCTCATTTTCTGACTTTAGAGGCCAGTCTCTCATATGAACTTATTTACATTTTTATGCCCTACAACTCACAAACTTCCTTTTACAGAGTGGAAAGCCTGCTGCTCTATAGCCACTGTTTCCCTTCCAGACTTGAGAAGAGGGCTGCACTAACCACAGATGTTCTAAAAGTCAGAGCAAAGGACTATGGAGCCATGGCATAGAGCCCAAGTCTATGCTCTTGTCTGATTTGGGTCTATCTGTGGGTGACATGTGTTTCTGGCTACTGGTGATATAGGAAGCAAAGAGGGAAGGAGAAACCACCATCTCACAATCTCTTTCACGGGGATGATCCCAGTGACCTAAGGACCTCCCACTAGAGATCTTGTCACCTGCTCATGGCTCCACTCTGGAGTCCAGCATAACACATGGATGTTTGGTGGACACTCCACCCAAACAGAGCACCTTGTCAGGGTTCTCAACAGATAAGAAGGTGAAGCACGGAGAGGCTGGATACCAGCAAGGTCCAGTTTCAGCTGAACTCAGGCAGTGTGAGTCCTACTACCCAGTGATAGAGTTGCTGAGCACCCTAACAGTTGTTGCAAATGACCATTGCTTGGCAACCCCTAGAAAAGTGGCCTCAGGCAGCATCAGAACTTGAAGCTCAACCATTTCCTGAGCCTCTGACACAGTTATGATTCCTAAATGGCTCCCAGGGCGCCTAGCATAGCAGCTTCCAAGACATCTTAGTTGGTGAGGGGACATGTTCATTACAAAAGGAAACAAGAAGTTAGTGGGCTTGGGTAGCACTTGTTGAAATATAGCCACAGTCAGACCCTCACTTTAGTCCAATTGTGGTACTTCAAAAGACACAGTAAACCAGATGGATTACACTCCACAAACATTGGTGCTGCAAGTTACAGAAGCTAGGATTCTGAAATCACATTGCTTTCTGGTGAGGTGCCTCTCCCAGGTTCACACTCGCTGACCTCTTGCCATCTTCCAGACTGTGACCTTTTGACCAATGCACCTCCCAAAGCATCACTTCCTAATGCCACCATGTCCTGTGCTAAAACTCAACATAGGAGCTTGGAGGATATAAGCCACAGTCCTTTGAATTCTATTTCCAATCCGTGAAATATCCACAATTCCAACTCCACACAGGACTATAATGATGCCCTAAGATGCTCAAAGCCTGCCAGTTGGTCCTACCCTTGCCCTTCTGCAGATGTGAAAAGAGTCACTGTTTCTTCTCATTTCCTGTTTCATAACAACCATGCTGCATCTTAGTATTTTCTTGGCTGACAATGCCTGGAAAAATACTATTTCTAATGACTTTTTTTTTTTTTTTTTTTTTTTTTTTTTTGCTTTTGGCTTTCTACATATCTATGTGCAAAACAGAACATAACCAAAACTAAGACCTCCACATTACTTTACCCTCATTCATCCTGCAGGCATCTCATGTTAGGAATGGTATTGCTGAAGGTCAGGTGGAGTGGTTGAAGCACCACGGAGCAGGTGACACCATCAAAAGTGTCTTTGAAGGATATGAATTCCCCCAATGCACAAAACAGTTGTGTGTTGTACAATTATTCTTGTGTGTTGCTTAATTCTTTCTAGAAAAGCTACAATGCTACAGAAAGCTTAGGTCTATACACAGACAATATAAGCAAGCATCTCTGCTAACTTTCCTCATCCACTCAAATTTCAAATATAAAAGCATTGAAATCTTTTTGCTTCTATTCATGTGTGCTACTTTTTGCAGAAGGAATGCTCTTCCTCTACTCTATGTTTTCTCCTTGATTGTCTCCTTCTTGCTTTTGCCCTTGAAGTCACATCAATAGTTTACAAAGATCACAGGCCACTTGCCTTTTCTATAGGCCAGAGACTCCTCAGGCTGTGTTCCAGGGGCTGCCTCTTGGTAATAGTCTCATATTGGTTTATTGTCTTTGCAAACACAGACACCTGGCATTGTGAGTCTATTTGGTGCCCTTTGGTACCCGCTTCTGGTAGTCTCAATTTTCTCTCACGAATGAGGTCAGTGGTAAACATTGACTTCTCAATTCCTCATTATCCCTTGCATTGCACAGTTGCTGGCTTGTCACTGTGTTGCTAAGAACCCTGTATTCCAGGCTCTTCCACATTCGATTCTGAGAATACATTGACATTTGGTTGTCACATTCTATTGTCCGAGAAACCAAACAAATCTGTATTTCCTGACCTTCTGCTAAGCACATGGTATTCACAGTATCTTGTTTAATACCCAGTAACCCTGTAAGGTGAGGATTATTACTACTGCTATACCACAGTCACACAGCCAGCAAGAGGGCACTGTCCTCTCTCCTGAAATCAGCCTCTTCCCAATTAGCCCTTGGCTTGGACATCCCACACTGTCTCTGTAGCCTGAGAGGCACAGATGGATCCCAACAAGGTCTCTTGCCAGTATTGATAGAGGTATTGCCTGCAACCCCAAGTGTCCTGCCTATATGTCATATATATGTCATATAGGCATATATGTCATATAGGCAGGGGTCCTGCCTATATGTCACCAGGGTCCTGCTAGGCCTCACACATCGGTGTTCAGAAGAGGAGCTTCAGCAAGAAGACCAAGCCTCAATGCTGCCCACCCTCCTGGGTGCATCTCCATGGGAACAGGCTGAACCAACTCTATTGTCCTCCATTTCCTCCATTTTCACATGGGCTCTACAGCACAGTGAAATTACTTTCACTTCAGGAATAAGAAAGTAGACAAGGGGTGGCACTTGGCTTGCCTACACCTGCAGAGATCCAAAGTGGTTTGTACAAATGGCATATCTCAGCAGCAAGACAATCCCAGTCTCTTCTCACCTAGTGTCACCCAGACAGTGAAATTCTAACCTAACTGTCCCTGTGAACCTGTGCCCTCTGAGGGTCTTCCTGTCAAATGCCTGTGAATGGGAAGAGAACGTTAGGACTGTTCTAAAATACCGCCAAGCATTGTTTCCCTGATACTTGCTCAAACTTAACAGCAGACATAAGATGAGTTTGCAAACGTTCAGGGTAAAAACTTTATGATAACCAATAGCTGCAAGACCAGAAAAAAGAAATAGAACTAGATCCCTGGACATTTCTTTGGATGTGTGGAGGTTTAAAGGAGAATTTAATTTTCTTTATCTTCTTAGCACAATCCCTGTGCAGAGGCCCACACACCGTGTGCCCAGGGAAGAGGAAAGGATGCTGTCACAGGTGACCACCGCTTATCTCTCTGCAGACATCCAGGTACCCCTCCCTGGCTAGTTCTTCCTTGTCCTGGGATATCCTGATCCAGGACTCTGCAGGCTCTAGCTGAGCTTGGGGTGACCCCGAACAAAATCTGCTTCCCTCTGGCACCCCTGAAAGTTCCAAAGGAGGCCAGCTTTCCTGACATTGTCACATTTGCTTTGATCCTGTTTTGGAGGGGAAACATGGTGTTTCCAAATAAGAAAATTGTGTATAAGGAGCAGGACTGGAAGCCTTTGAGGGGGAGAAGAAAGCAAGTAAGAAGAAAACACAGGTAACTTGACCGAAGTTGCCTTGGAAACTAGAGCTAAGAGGATGTGGAGGGTGGAGTGGGTGCACCTTCCTACTGTGGTTGCCTTGCTCATTTACAACAGAGCTCCCAAATACTGTGTGCCCATTGTGCGCCCAGCCCTATAAGAAGGAGGTTATTATAACTTGTGGGAGGCTTTTGCTTAGTTTTCCTTCCCCTGCAAAGCACTCCCAGGTCTGTGGTCCCACAGCCGCCTCCTCATTTCCCATCCCACAGGTATAGGGATCTCCAGAAAACCACTTCACTCACTTGCTACAATAGCTCAAACAACAAGGGCTAAAAAGCCACCAGAAGTTCCAAATCTCTGCTGGACTAGAACAGATATGATTCAAAATAGGCAGGCAGAGGCTGGTGCCTAATTTCTCTGAAAGTTCCTTTAGCAGCCCTGCCACCTGCGATGTTGGATGCTCAGCCAGCAGTATCTCTGTCCCTAGAAAGACACCATGACCAAAATCAACCACAGATGCCCACTCCAGCCCCAGGGTCGTTGTCTACCAGAAGTGGGTGCTGGGGTCTGACCCTGAGCCATGTAGACAAAGAGCTGTACTCACAGGCAGCTGGAGTCGCCTCCTCTCTATTCGCTCCCTTGCTTGCTCTCTCTCTCCTTGGTGACAGTTAAAAGGCACAGAGGATGCGATTGCCATTTATGTAGACAAAGTGTCCGCCTCCCGAAGCCAATCAGCAGCTTTCTCTGCATTATTTACCCAGAGCCTCTCTTGCTCTTCTCCCTGTGTGCCTCCTGCTTCACAGGATGGAGCCCAGCAGGGCAAAGAGAGAACAATGGGGCCTGGAGAGAGGTCCAGGAGAGGTGGGTCCTGGGTTCCCTGTCACTGTTTGGGATCCAGACTAAGGAGCAGTGTTCCTGGAGGCTCCTAGCAGCTCAAACCCCAGGCTCTATTCTAGGGGAGAAGTCTGGTTACAGGCCCTGCTCCATCCATGGGGACCATTGGAATGCTGCCTGACACAGGGGCTGTCATGGACTAAAAGTTCAAATCCCACTCAGCTCATTCAAAGAACAGTACTGGTCCCTTTGGCCAAGCACCATCCCGACTATATTGGGTGCTGTACACTTCTGCCCAGTGTGTAGGAGTGAGAAGAGGCTCACCACGTCCTGCTAATCAGTGTGACTTAAAGGTCTGAATTTTTTTCGTAAGGGGTACACATCACTATATAAATCTAGAATAGAAGCCTGGGTCATGCAGATAAGGGAGAGCAGAAGAAGAGCCAATTCTGGCCAGCAGCACCAATCAGAAGCATCTATCAGAACCACAGACACACATGCACAGAAACACACATATGCACAAAGATCACACATACACACAGAAGACACACACACACACAGAATACATGTGCACATAGACCTCACATACAGGCAGACATACAGAGTATACACACACGCAGAGAGAGAAGACACATGCAAAGAACACACATACACACACACACACAGAGCACACACATAAGCATAGAGGGTACCCACACGTTTACAGAGGGTACACTCTTGCAAATAGTGCACACATTAATAGAGTATACACACATGCAGAGAGAGCCAACACATGTAGAGAACATACACACACACACACACACACAGAGCACACACATATGCATAGAGGGTACCCACACGTTTACAGAGGGTACACATTAATAGAGTGTATACACATTCAGAGAGCAGACATATGCATAGGGAACATACACACACAAACAAATAGCATAGAGGGTATATCTGCATACATACACAGAGAACACACCCACAAATGTACAGAGGGCACACACATGCATAAAGTACACACACATTAACAGAGAACACATCCATATGCACAGATGCACAGAGAGCACATACATACTTAGACAATGCACACATGTAGAAAGAGCACACACATATATAGAAGATACCCACCCATGCACAAAGGACACACACATATGAACAGATAACACACGCACGCACAGAGAGTACACACACACAGAGGTACATGCAAATGTGCATGCATGTGTATACACACACCAATACAAATGTAAGCATGCAGTCACTATGCTCATGCATGTGTACACATAAAATGTACATGCATGCAGATGTATGCATACACTGACACATACACACATATACAGTTGCATATACAACACACACATACCAGGTGGGCTCTGTGGCGCAATGGATAGCGCATTGGACTTCTATCTGAATCTTCTTCGAATCCCCCAAGACAGCGCCCCTTACCAGCAGGAAGTAGTTTGGAAAGAACGACGCCCAAATTCCAAATATTGTGTATAAATGTTTGTTTTCATTTAATTGGACTTTGTTATATAAAATTAAATAAAAAAATAAGTAAAAAAAATAATGAAAAAAAAAGGATGGTGATAGAATCATAGTGCATAGGTTAAATATTACTAAAGTACAAGCTTACATCTCTACTTGATCAAGTCTTCTGATCACTCTTCATTGCCTTTGGGATAAAGCCATTAATTCTAACATACAATGACCTCCCAAATCAGGTCATTGCCTGTCTTTTGAGTCCCATAACCTATGTTAGCTTGTTAGGGCTAACATACAAGGCACTGAAGCACAGGCAGTATACTCCTAGACTCCTCATTTTTTTCCCTGTGGATAAATTTCTTGCCTTATCTGAATTTGTTTCTTCACATGTAGGGGTAGAATTAAGAATACTAAATTTTAAATTGTTTTCCCCAGGATTAAACAAAATAATGCATACATACAGTAAGTAAAATAATAGTCCTCAGAAATAGTCACAAAATCGTTTTAACATTTAATATGAAGGTAATAAAAAATAAAAGTTGTGAACTAAGGATATACTTCATCTGGGAGAGTGTTTGCCTTTCATCCAGGAGGACTTGGTTTTAATCCCAAGCACCATGAGAGTAAAATAAAAATATTTCAAATTAAAAAAAAACACACACACACACACATACCATGTCCAGCAATTCTCCAAAGAAAACTGATCATCCATGACGCGGCCCCACAGGATTTCTTCACAGACAAGTTTGGAACAGAGGTGGTGGCTCCAAGTCCAGAAGAAGTGAGGGTTGTGCGGCAGGGAGAGCCAACACATGGTTGCTGGCCATGGATGAGGGACCCTGGCCCCCAGCACAGGCAGCTCCCTTTACTGCCGATGTAGACAGCAGCCATGCCCACAATGGAGGATGTAAGGAGATTAGCTCTATCTGTACAGATGGAGCGCCCCAGCACCTGGTACCATTATCAGTGGAGCCTAGCTGAATGGGCAGGAGGCTGGCACCCACCCCCAGGTTACCTAGACTACTGAAACAAGCCACAGTGAGGTGGGAAGGGCTGTCACCAGGCTGGACAGATACCCTCAGGTACTCTCAGCCTGATTCCTTCACAACTCAGCCTCACTGTTGCCCGTATTCATATGAGGAAGAGGAGTCCCTGATCAGGAGGACTGGCCAGGAGCACGGGCACAGGAAAGATGACTAGCACACTGGATTCTAGGAAGAACAAACCCATGGAAAAACACAGAGCTCTACCCAGAGCACTGTCCTGGAAAGAACTGGCTGTAAACAAGAAGGAAGCCCCCCCCTCCCCAGGCAAAGACTTCTGGAGATGGTCTGTAGGTCAGTGAAATCCTCTGTTTAATGGAGATTTCCCCTGATAGTGCTTGGCATTCTAAAGCTTCAGTTGTAGCCTTTTTCACATAGGTTCCCTGAGCCTCACAACCCATTTCTCTCCCAGCACCAACTTACAGATGGGGAAACAGACTCAGAGAGGTCAGGATACTTACTGAAGATCACACAGCTGCAGACAGACATTTGAGGAGATAGGAATGTTTAACTTAATTGAAACACTACACTAAGCATACATGTATGGACACATCACCGTATGTTTTTGTTGTTGTTATTATTGTTGTTATTGGGGGGTTCAAGATAGGGTTTCTTTGTACAGCCCTGGCTGTGCACAAACTTACTATGTAGATCAGGCTGGCCTCAAACTCAGAGAGAATTTGCCTGGCTCTGTATCCTGAATGCTGGGATTAAAGGCATGTACCACCACTGCCCAGCTTACCCCAACATTATATAAAATGTTCCTAGTCTTAAAAATCAATCAACAACACCAGGTATATGTTTTAATCCCAGCACTCTGGACGCAGAGGCAAATGGATTCTCTGTGAGTTTGAGGCCAGCCTGGTCTACAGAGAGAGTTCCAATACAGTTAAGGCTACACAGAGAAACCCTGTCTAGAAATGTGTTCCCACCAAAAAAAAAAAAAAAAACCAAAAAGAAAAGAAAGGAAGAAAGGAAGAAAGAAAGAAAGAAGAAAGAAGAAAGGAAGAAAGGAAGAAAGAAGAAAGAAAGAAAGAAAAATAAGTCAACAAAATGAGATAGGTAATGGCATAGACTAGGAGATCTGGGACATCCAGAGAGCACAGCGAAGCGACCATGCTTGTTGCTCAAAGGGCATGCGGACCCTCAGAGGTTTGAAGCAGAATGTGTCTCAACTTCATGTGTAGCAACTCACACCATCGAATCTCAGGGATAAAATTGGATGTGAATGGGTAAAAATGAGAGTCTGGAGACATAAGAGATGTATTTAAGAGTGGAATGAAAAGACCTGGGTGGCATGGGAAGGCACTGGAGTGTAGGTCCAGCCAGCAGGCCTCAGGTCCTGCACTGGAATCTGCTCTCCCCACCTGTGAGGGGGAACTGCACTTTTTGCACCACAATGAAGCAGCTAGGTCAGCATTTACAACAGAAGCAAACCACAAGGAATGGAGGTAACAAAAGCCGGCGAAAACTCTGCGGGTTATGGAGAGGCACACAGGAAGGTGAGACTAAATGGAAATAAACCAGTGTTGAATAGGAACAGCCAAGGTTATAAATACTTGAATTCTTCTCTAACAGGCGAACAGACTCAGTGCCACTGTAATAAAAATCCAGCACATGCCTCGGACTCTGAAATAGAAATGGAAAAGCGGAAGTCTAAGAAAGGCCAGTGGAGTTCTGAGAAGGAAGATCGTGATGGCAGCCAGGTGGGGGTTGGGGGCAGGGGGGCGATGTTCCCCCCAAGTCACAAGCACAATGGTCCTGTGTGCAGTGTGTGGGGCGAGGCCTGCTGGGTGCAAATAGACTCATGGGTAGTTAAATAGAGTGGACATTCCAGAAGGAAAAAAATAGAGCCCTGAGTGTGGAAAATGACAGGTGCACATTGCAGACCAAAATGGAAAGGGTGGGGTATGAGACACTGCGACAACTGTGCTGCTCCACTTGGAAGGACAAGAAGCTGGGTGTTTGCCTCACTCCATCCTGATGGCAGGGGCAGGCAGGGGCAAGCGTCTAAGAGAAACTGAGGGGCATGTCTTTCATGATATTGAAGTAAAAAGATTTCCTCTCATCCTCCTCCTCTTCTTTTTGTTTGTTTTTTTGTTTGTTTGGTTGGTTGGTTGGTTTTTTGTTTTTTTGTTTTTGTTTTTGTTTTTTTTGGTTTTGGAGACAGGATTTCTCTGTGTAGCCTTGGCTGTTCTGGAACTCACTCTGTAGACCAGGCTGTCCTTGAACTCACAGAGATCGGCCTGCCTCTGCCTCCGGGATTAAAGTCATGTGCCGCCACCTCCGGGCACAAAAAGAATTTCTTAGATGGTTTACTTTATCAGCTAACCATAAGAGATAGATAGATTTGATTTTCTTTTTCTCTTTTTCCTTACTTGTACTTCAAGTACAGCATCTAGAGGAAGCCTTGAGAGGCATTTTCCTAATTATGGGTCAACAGA